GTGTCTGTGCATGTGGCTGTGTGTATGTCTGTGTGTCTGTGGATGGTTTTGTGTGTGTCTGTGTGTGTCTGTGTGTATGTCTGTGTGTGTGGCTGTGTGTGTCTGTGTGTGTGTCTGTGTGTGTGTCTGTGCGTGTGTCTGTGCATGTGGCTGTGTGTATGTCTGTGTGTCTGTGTATGTCTTGTGTGTGTCTGTGTGTGTATGTGTGTATGTCTGTGTGTGTCTGTCTGTGTGTGTCTGTGTGTGTATGTCTGTGTGTGTTTATGTCTTTGTGTGTGGCTGTGTGTCTGTGTGTATGTCTGTGTGTCTATGTGTGTCTATGTTTGTGTGTGTGTCTGTATGTGTATGTGTGTATGTGTGTGTGTCTGTGTGTATGTCTGTGTGTGTGTCTGTGCATGTGGCTGTGTGTGGGGAGCGGTGGCGTAGTGGTTAGCGCGCTGCGCTACGAACCGAGTGACCTGCGTTCGATTCCAGCTCACGGTAATCACCAGTGACGATTATCTGTACCTGGGCGTCCCCTAGGTCGACTCAGCCGCAAATGAGTAGATAGTGCTGTGTGTAGTAAACATCGCCACGAGGGAGACAAAGGCGGCCGGGCGTGGTGGTGGCCACCCACACCCTCGTGTACCGTTCCGGCCTTCGTAGATGCTCGCTAACAGCACTTGCCCCAACAGTCTGTTAAGGCTATACGGGGGATCTTTATCTTTGTGTGACTGTGTGACTGTGTGGCTGTCTGCGTATGTGGCTGTCTGTGTGTGTGTGACTGTGTGTGTATGTATGTATGTCTGTGTGTGGGTCTGTGTGTGGTCTGTGTGTGTCTGTGTGTGTCTATGTGGCTGTCTGTGTGTGTGACTGTGACTGTGTGGCTGTGTGTATGTATGTTTGTGTGGCTGTGTGTGTGGGGGGGAGCGGTAGCGTAGCTGTTAGGGCGCTGCGCTACGAACCCGGCGACCCAAGTTCGAATCCCGTTCACGGCCAACACCGGTGCGGTGTATAAACATCGCCACAAGAAAGACAAAGGCGGCCGGGCGTGGTGCTGGCCATCCACCCCCTCGTGTACCATTCTGGCCTTCATAGGTGCTCGCTAACAGCACTTGCCCCAACAGACTGTTACAGGCTACGCGGGGGATCTTAGTCATTGAAGATGACCTCAAAACTCCTCTCCCAGTTTCTTCCACTTCACTTTATTTTTTTGGGAGGGGGATTCCCAGCGTCTTGTGGGAATTTCCCGGCCACGGCTCACATCGATGGCTATGGACTTTTCACCGCAGATGGAACCCGCAGGCTTTTGATTTCCATCCTTCAACCCCCCCAACGGGGTGTACTACACACGTGGTGGGGGTGAATTGTGGGTACCGCCTGCGTCTCTTGACCCTTCCACAGACGTTCGGCAAGCAGCGTGGAAGAGTAGACCAAGGGCCCTCTATATCACCCTTCCCACGAGCAGTGCATGGCGGGAGCGCCTGCAAAGCTGCCCATATTTATATTCTTAGGTTTTTTTCGGTCAAGTCACGTGGGTAAAAAATTTAAATTAATAAAAGTAAAATAAAAATAAAATAAAAAATCACGACGTTTCGGAGGCAACACAAGCTTCCGTCTTCGGTTGACGCGAAGACGGAAGCTTGTGTTGCCTCCGAAACGTCGTGATTTTTATTTTTATTTTACTTTTAGTAATTTTTATTTTTTACCTACGTGACTTTACCGAAAAAAACCTAAGAATATGAATCATTGCAGTCACGAAAGCTTCAAATCTAGAATTAATGCCCATATTTCCACAGTTCGCCTGCCACCACCGAAACCGCAACTGTGACCAGCGTGTTGAAGTATGGTTCAACGCCCCCCCCCACCGCCTCCCCCATGATCGTGGAGGGAGGCTCTCGTCCAGCAGTGGACAGAGCGAGGCAGGCGTGTGAAAGAGGCCCGTCTTCCTTGCCCGCTGCTGACAAGAGAATTCCTCGGGCTCAGCTTGCACTCAACTGGGCAGGCCGCCCTGCGCCAAGCCTCGGCATCCCATCGAGAGCCAACCAAGCTCCATTGGCCCTGCCTGACTCATCAGCATTATGCAATTGGATTCGAAATGACGACGTGTCCCTCTAGCATCATCAGCCGCGATCAATTCGCGGCTGGGCGAAAGGAATCCCCCGTCAAGCCGTTGGTTGAATTGCTATAACACTCTCCCACCCCCCCCCGACCCCGCCATGGACATGTGGAATTGCCACCACTGGCTAGGGGCAAGGTGTGTAAGGCAAGAGATGGGCACCGTTTAATGTCTCGATGGTCATTAGTGCAGCAGGGAATCACATTTGACCGCAATTGTACTCTCGTGGTAGTGCCTTACGCTCCCGTAATCCCCGACGTTGAGCGGGGAGTGAATCGCAAACGAATTAGTCACGACCGAGGTCTTACTGTGGAACTAAAACTGTGAACTGTTTTTTTTAAATCCTTTATATTAAGTTCGCTTGCTTGCTTAGGACCGTGCAAATCTTTCGGTCGTTTTTTAACCCACTTCCCGTGATCCAATCGAGCTGACATTTTCCACACAGACTCGTTGTGCGTGACAATTAATGTTCGTGAAATTTTTTTTCCAAAATTTAACGCTTTTTAGGACAAAAATATTATATTTAATTACCAATTGCTTAATGGTGCAATGCAATCATCTGACCCATAGGTGGCAGCCATCTCAAGCCAGAGGACAAGAGGAAAAACTTTGTTTTGACTGGTTATACTTATTACTTTACAAGGTAAGACCCACTCAGCTATGTAGATATTTTTTTCACAAAGCGACCTGCACACAAATGACAGCCCAGCGAAGAGGCGTATCGTCGTCGTCATCGGGTGGAAATGTATAGCAGCCAAAGAGTCTAAACGCGTGACGTTGATGATAAAATTGTGGAGGGAAAAACCCGTGGACCCGGAGAAGAATCCACGCGACCGCGGGGAGAGAGACGCGCAAAACTTCAAATATACAGCAGGGGTCAGGGTAGGGGTCGAACCCACGACCTCTTGCATACCAGGCGAGGTAGTTAACATCTCCTAGCCACCGTGATGATGATGATGATGATGAGAGCGAGAGAGACAGGCAAACTCCAAATATACAGCAGGTGTCAGGGCCGAGGTCGAACCCAGAAACTCCTGCATACCAGGCGAGGTAGTTAACATCTTGTAGCCACCGTGATGATGATGATGATGAGAGCGAGAGACACACAAACTCCAAATACACAGCAGCAGGCGTCAGGGTAAGGATCGAACCCACGACCTCCTGCACCCCAGGCGAGGTAGTTAACATCTCCTAGCCACCGTGATGATGATGATGAGAGCGAGAGAGACACACAAACTCCAGAGCAGCCACTGCAGAGAGCAAGGGGGGGGGGGGGGACCAGCGGCCAAGTGTGCTTCTAGGGAAGAGGGCGGAGGTGACGCGGGGAGGAGGAGGAGGGAGAGAGAGAATGTGCAACGGGGAAAGGTCGCGGCCGAACAACAGCTGCCACCATTCACCAAATTAAGCGAATATTAACCAAATATAGCGTGTGCTGTCCGCAACAACAGGTGGGACCCCCTCCCCCACCCCGGCCGGCGAGTTGGGGTGTGTGGGTGGGGAGGTTGTTTGTGAGATGCGGTGACGGCGGTGGCTTTTGCGGGCCACGGAGAGAGGGCTTTGGAGGAGGGCCAACGCGGCCGGGCACGTTCACACATTCTCGGGTCCGCCTATCCCGTGGGACGCAGCGGGGTCAGGAGCCGCCGGCGGCGGCGGGGCTGGAGAGAGAGGGGGACGGGGGCCTGCTTAGTGATGGCCGGGAAGAAAGTCGGCTCAGGTGTGGTGGTGGTGGTGGTGAGAGCGAGAGACACGCAAACTCCAAATATACAGCAGCAGGCGTCAGGGTAAGGATCGAACCCACGACCTCCTGTAGACCAGGCGAGGTAGTCAACATCTCCTAGCCACCGTGATGATGATGATGAGAGCGAGAGACACAAACTCCAAATATACAGCAGCAGGCGTCAGGGCCGGGAGAGAACTTGGGGTTATGGGGGTCGGCTGGGCAATTTCGGAAGTTCAGGGAATGTTTTGTAAAGTCCCGGAATGCGCACACGGGAACAGGGCAGGGATGGACGATTCGTCGATTTCAAATCGCAATTTGAAACAATGCGATTAGCAAATCGCAAAGGCTATTATTTTCTTATTGCAATTGTTGTATTTTTTATGATAAACTTTATTTAATTAACGTAACAATCGCTCTATGTTTGATTGTTCTATTTTCAATTTTAAGTTCTCATCCTTGCTCTGTGGTTCTTTCGGTAGAGTCACGTAGGTATAAAATAAAATAAATCACGACGTTTCGGGGGCAACACCTGCGTGACTTTACCGAAAGAACCAAAGAGTTTGGATTCCTGCAGTCACGAAAGCTTCAAATCAAGATGATCATCCTTGCATTTTTAGATATATTTACATAGGTATATTGTGGTAATGCTCCATCACACGTTTTAAACCTATTACACATTGAATATTGAACTGAAGCTTGACTTTAAATTTTTTTTATCGCAATATCCCTGAGAAAAATCACAACAGATATTTTCCCCAAATCGGCCACGTAGAGGGCCCAGGGCATTGAAGACCACGAAGCGGCCACGCTCACAACACGCACGGGGGGCGGGGGCGGGGGGGGGATATTGGCACGGGTTGGGGTGCAACGCGCCCGCCCCCGCCCCCCGGCGCGCGCCGAGCACCACGCGTGCACGCGGCGAACACGCGGACGCTCGACCAATCGCGAGCTGTTTACGCTCGCGCCCAGCCAATCACGAGCGCGCTCTGCCCGCGGTGAAGTCACCGAGCACGCGCTGTGCACGACGTCTTCGCGTGTTAGCGGCGGTTGGGTGGGGGGGGGAAGCCCCCGCACCCGCGGGGTGAGGGGGGATGAGCCCCGCCCCCTCTAAGGGGGAGGGGCTGAGGGGGTCTCCCCTTAAATAGCGGCGGGGAGGGGGTGGCGATATGCACTTGACCGTCTGAGAGCGGCTGAATGAGTGAGCTCTGTGGCGTTCACGAAGCGTTCGCCCGTCGCGTTAATTGTGCCTCCCGTTAATTAGTCAAGGGGGGGAGGGGTGGCTAGGAGGACTTTTGCCAGGCCCCTGCTGCGGCCCTTCTTGGAAAGAAGAGCGGGCATTCTTAAACGCTGCCGAGATTTCGGTCGGCAGCACAGCAGCGGCAGCAGCAGCTCAGGTGCAGCGAAGTTTAAAACGCTGCAAGAAAATTGCGTCTCGCATCTGCTCGGATTTACCAGGAGCAGCAGCAGGAGCAGCACGAGGTTGTGCGTCGGAGGGTTTTGGTGGACAACTGCGACCCCTGAGTTGTTGTTGTTGCGGCTTGAACCATGGGTCTCGGCGACGTCAAATGTCTCTCCGTGAAGCTGGATGCCCCCGACGGCGGCGGCAGCAGCGGCGGCCGCGGCGGCGGCGGCGTCTTCGTGTGCGGCCAGGAGGTGCGAGGCCGCGTGCTGCTGCGGCTGCGGCGCGGGGCGCGGCTCGGCTCGCTCCGCCTTCGCGCCCGGGGCCTCGCCCGGGTCCGCTGGGCCGAGCCCGAGCTGCTGGGCCGGAGGGCCCCGGCTGCCCTGGGCCTCTCCTGCCGCGAGGAGGCCACGTACCTGGACGTGCAGCAGACGCTACTCGCTCCCCCGGGTGAGTGGATGGTGATGCGGCAAATGTGGCTGTGACGGTCACCACCTGGTGACGGGAGACTTGTGTTGCCTCCGAAACGTCGTGATTTTTTTTATTTTTTATTAATTTTAATTTCATTTTTTTTACCTACGTGACTTTACCGAAATAACTAAGAGTATGAAGCATGGGGGGGTTCATCTTCTTGGTTCTTTCGGTAAAGTCACGTAGAATGGAAATAATAAAATAATAAAAATAAAACGTAATAAAATAATTCTCACGACGTTTCGGCCACAACGCAAGCAGCCGTCCTCAGGTGAAGAACAGGTCTCTCTGAATGAAACACCACCAGGCTTTCTGACAGACGCTGCAGTCACGAAAGCTTTAAATCGAAATTCACGGGGGGTTCGTGACGCATTGGGGGGGTCTGAAGTGGGGGTGCCACTTATTGGAAGCCCCTTTGCCGGTTGCAAAATATGATAATTGGATTTTTACCTTTTTATCTGGCAGCAAAACTGACACCTTTTTTTTGAGTTGTGCGACTTTTGGCTTCATCTGGTCCAACACCGTGTGAGACTGGGCTCTTTAAGAAAAGTTGTCTCTGGCGTGGGCCAATCAATTTCAAGGACCGTGCATGCATGATCAGAGTTGTGTTTTTTTGTTTGAATTCCGACCGCAAGTATTGTGGTCAATGCAAAAGGTGTCAGTTTTGTTGGCAGATAAAAGGGTACAAAAAACAATTATCATATTTTGCGTTGCTTGTTGAGAAATCTCAAGGGTTGTTCTATGGGATAGCATCGCCTCTTCCTCCCCCCCCGCCATAGTAATGTGGAATGTTCACAACCGGCTCGGTGACTAAGCGAAGCCCAAATGCCGTACAGCGAGTACTCCTGTGTCAGTAAATCACTCGGCAACTTTGTGAACACTGCAGTTGTAGAGGTTTGTGTGTAACATGAATACGAGCCGCGTGTGTATAACAGCACTTGTTAAAGTTGTTCATTAATGTGCTTGTAGCGCAGCTGCTAGAAGCACCAGATGGCGTGTATCGGGGTGGGGAGGTGGTGCGGTGTGGATTAACTTCTTTTCCAGTTAGTATGTTGTGGGGGGGGGGGGGGTCTGCGTCTCGAGAAATAAATAATTTGAGGTCCCTAATTAGTAAGGGATCCCCATTGAAAAGGGGACTCTCTTGAGGGGTCCCTCTTAGTAAGGGCCCCCCACCCTCCTGGCAGAAGGGACCTTCCTAGAAAGGGGGTGCGGCACAACCCCACGTGGGCCTGCCCTGATTGGCCCTCTCCTCCTTGTGACGTCATCACAACATGTTTTTCCAATTTCGCCCCTCCCAAACAGCTGGCGGAAGTGAGGATCACGTGACGCTCCCTGCCGGGCTGCACGAGTTCCCGTTCTGCTTCGTGCTGCCGGACGGGTGAGCGAGCACATGACTCACCGCACAATGCGTACACACCGCTTGTGTACGCACACACACACTGCGTACACACCGCTTGTGTACTCACACACATACACACCGCGTGTGTACACGTACAGATTCTGATTTACGGTGTACACAGACATATAACATACACGCGGATTGTACATACACGCTGTACGCTCACCTGATATGGACACAGCATATACACGATGTAGAACACACAGCATGTACTGCACGCACAACCAACCTACACGGTGTAATACGGCACAAGTATAGCGTGCTCTCGCGTTGCAGCGTGCTGACCGTGCCAACCCGTCCCTGTGTCCCGCAGACCGCTGGCCACGTCGTTTGAGGGCCGCCACGGCTGGGTCCGCTACTGGGTGGAGGCCGCACTGGAGCGCGACTGGGGCCGGACGCAGCGCACATGCCATCGCTTCAGCGTCGTGGAGCACGTGGACATCAACACGCCCAGCCTGCAGGTGAATGCCGCAGCAGCAGCAGCAGCACACTGAGATTTGGCTGACCCAGGTCACTGTTACTTAAGAGACATATCCTGGTCTCTTTGAGTTCTCACCCGATTAAACTAATAAACTTGATAACAGCATCTTCTTGGTTCTTTCGGTAAAGTCACGTAGAAGGGAAATTATCAAATAATAAAAATAAAACGTAATAAAATACAATTTTATTTTATGATTTCCCTTCTACGTGACTTTACCAAAAGAACCAAGAAGATGAATCCCTGCAGTAACGAAAGCTTTAAATCGAAATTTGATAACAGTACTCGCCCGCCACCAATACCAGCATCGCAACCACATTTAAATGCCCACTGATGCCCGCAGCCTTTGTGCGCAACACACGCACATCTTACACATGCACACCTCGCCCCGCCGCCCCGCTCACACCGCACGCGTCTCCCCGTCCCATCGCAGGAGTCGGCCGCCGGCGCTCGCGAGAAGAACGTCGGCTTCGCCATGTTCGGCTCGAGCCTCATCGCGCTCAGCGTGAAGATCGACCGGCGCGGCTACTGCCCGGGCGAGGCCATCGCCATCCACGCCGAGGTGGAGAACTGCTCGTCGCGCCTCGTCGTGCCCAAGGCGGCGCTTTGCCAGCGCCAGGTGTTCTTGGCGGGCGGGCGCACGCGCTCGCACGTGCGCGCCGTGGCGGAGGTGCGCGGCGAGAGCGTGCCCTCGGGCCGCACCGACTCGTGGGACGGCCGCTTGCTCAAGGTGCCGCGCCTGCCGCCCTCCGTGCTGTCCTGCGCCCTCATCCGTGTCGAGTACTGCCTACAGGTGAGCGCCGTGGGGTGTGGTGGGCTGGGCGAGTGGGTGGGTGGGTGGTTGTGTGAGGGTCGAGGGGTTTAGCAATTGAAGCCGTAGGGGGGTGGGCAGTTGGCGCTGGTTTCGATGAGCTCGGCATGGGGTAGCCTGGGTTGGGGTGAAAGTGAGCACCTGGGGGTGAGTTTTGCCTATTGGCAAGCGACGGCTGTTGAATTCCATCCTGATGCTGGTGGTCATGCATGGAACAATTGGTTAAGAGTTGTACAAATTGCATGTAAATATATAGCGGTTGACTAATTTTGCTAGCGGACAAAACGACTGCAAAATATTTGTTCAAGTGCCACCCTGAATGGTGACGATTCATTGAATCCCCAATGGGTGTCGAGTCTACAGTTGTCTCGTAGCCTGGGGCAGACCAGTCGTGACACGAGCGCATTCGGGAACCTCAGGCGGTTTTTGTGGCCGAGCTGCCGGATGGAGATGCTGACCCACCCCCCTGTGCCTCCTCCTCCTCCCAGGTCTACGTGGACATCCCCGGCTCGTCAAACCTGCAGCTGGAGCTGCCGCTGGTGCTGGGCACGATCCCGCTGCAAGCCCTGGGCTCCCGCACGTCCAGCGTGTCAAGCCAGCGCAGCGTCACGGGGGCACCAGCGTGGAGCGAGCTGCCCGAGGCGCCTGAAGGTACAAACCGCTGCGTCCGCGCGCGTGTGTGTGTGAGCGAGTGCTAGGTCGACTCAGCCTCAAATGAGTACCTGGTGCGATGTGTAAACAACGTCACTAGGGAGACAAAGGCGGCCGGACGTGGTGTTGGCCACCCACCCCCTCGTGTGCCATTCCAGCTTTAATAGCTGTTCGCTAATAGCACTTGCCCCAAGCAGCCTGTTAGAGGCTGCACTGGAGATGTTGGTGGACGTGAGCGAGAGGGGCGTGTGTGAACGAGTGAGCGCGTGTATTTGGGGAACGCGAGAGTGCGATGGTGGTGGACGCGAGTGGGCGTTGACTCCGTTATTGTGCCCCCCCCCCCCAGCTCCCCCATGCTACACGGACGTGGTGTCGGAGGAGAGGTTCCGCAGTCTGTGCGTCCCCACCGAGGAGGCCTTTGCAGGGCCCCGTTCGGCCTACCTCTACATGCAGCAGTTCATGCTGCAGCCTCCGCCCCTCTACTCCGAGGTGTGTGTGTGTGTGCGCAGCCACACGACCATTGCACGATCTACCGCAACTACCACAACAATAACTCGCCCACACAACTGCTACCCAAGCACCTCCACTACATCATAACAACCACCACGACAACCGACGCAACTACTGCTACCGCAACATCCGCCGTAACTGTGACCCTCGTTACAATCGTACCACAGCAAAACCTCACACGATCCCTCTGCAGTCACGATCGCATCACACACCACCATAACCACCACCACATGATTAAAACAATCTCCAAGCATCACAACAACCCACTCAAGCACCACCGTCACAAACGGTACCACGACTAAACAAAACACCACTCGCACATCCAGCACAACAACAACAACGACAAACACCTTGTACAACCACCACTGCCATCACCTCCACAATAACCGTCGTGGCTAACGCTGGTCTCCTGTTGCTCCATCTCCCTTGCAGGTTGACCCCCATCCTCTGCAGAGGCTGCCCGTGCAGGTGAGCACGTGAGGCCTCCCCGCGCACCATCGGGGTGCGGTGGACGGACAGCGAGCACGACAGAGGGAAAGGGGGGAGCCGTGTCTGTGAATCACGGGGCATCCAAGCCGGTCCAGCACACGCATTCGCAAGTGGCGGTGCAAACTCCGGACTCTTGACGATGGAGCTGATGAACATATTAATGGTTGGGACGGTGACAACGATGACGATGCTGAGGACTGTAATAGTCAGAAGATGGGGATTGATGTCATGATGACGCAGTGATGAAGATGTGGGCCGATAATGATGATGATGGTGGTGGTGGTCATGAAGAGAAAGTGACGATGGTGATGAAGGTGGTGATTGCGATGAGGACAGCGGTGATGAAGGAGATGGTGACGCCTCGGAAGATGGCGACAGCATTGGTTGTGGCGACGGTGACCGTTGCGTAGACTGCGATGGAGGGAGGGATAGTGGCTGTGACAAGTGTTGCCAGTAGCGATGTTTGAGAGGCTGTACCACGTTGCGCGTGTGCGGTGTACGGCTGTCCCTGCGACGCAGGCGCCGGGACTTGCGCGCCGTCCGGCTGCTGCAGCCGAGCGTGGCGGCGTGCACTTTACGTTTTCATTTTTCTGAACAAAAATGCTCATTTTTGCTTTTGCCAAAGCCTTTACCTGGCACTTACCCAGCTGCATGGGAAACACTAACGGCATTTGCCATCATGATGAAATTCGTGTGGCCTTATTTTTGTATATGCACTTCAAGCACAAATGGTTAAAGTTGAATGGCGGCCGCTGGCTGCCATTTACCGAGTGCCATCGGTTCCCTGGTGATGAGGGATCCTCATAAGGGACGGGACTGGGTGGCCACGTGCGTGGACGTGTTGCACGTTTAAGTTATTTTGTATTCTCGGCTTCAACACCAAAACTGGGAGCCCCGGCTGGCACAAGACGGTGCCGCCGGTTCCCATTGAGCCATGCGCGCGCAAGGGTCGTTATTAAGTCTCGCCAACGATGACCTCGCCAACGATGACCTTGCGATGGTGGTGGAGGACGAGTTGTCCCTCCACCCCTGCTGCGGGTGAGGGTTGTCAACCCTGGCGAAAGTGACATTCTGCCATGAAACCCGGTCACACCTCTTGGGCAGAGGGACTACTTCCCCGGGGTTTTTGTAACCAAACGAGCCAAAATGCGGCCTACGCCACGAAACGAAACGGCGCCGGCCTGACTGTTTAAAAAGTTTACAAGGAAAGTTCTCCTGCTGTAACTGCAGCTGCTGCCCTGGGTGGAATATTCCAGCTGTGGACAGGTGCTGGAACGGCCGAGCGGCGGTCCAAGTGCCTCGGTTGAAGCGGTTTCCCCGAGCCTTGGTTGGTTTGGGGAATGGGCAGCTATCATGCCGGATTGATGGAGCCATCGTGAGTTTTTTTTTGCCAAAAGAATCTGGTGACGTGGGCATTTTTGTCCCGCGTCGTCAACCGAGCCAAATCTTGCGTTGGATCTGCGGAGCTGGAATGGCACTTCCAGGGTTATTGTTTTGTTTTTCTTAACACAGCCATGATGCCTGGGCTGCTTGCCCTTGGCTGGCAGTGCCCAGGCAGCCCTTACAGTGTTATATTCAGATGTGCGTTTTGACCGCTGGATGTGAAAGGTCCGACCCTGTGGGTTTAGTAATAAAATCACTGTTTTGTAGAGATGCCTCGCGTGGTGGTTATATGGGTCGTGGATGAGGATGTGGCTCTCGCATCAACGGGTTTTGGAGGTGCCGAAATAAAAAAATGCCGACTGCACAGGATTTGCTCGCTCTCCCGAAGAGCAAGAGAGGACGACTCGAAAGGTGCGGAGAGGAGCCACAGCTGAACGGGAGGCAAGAAATAGCCAGGCAGTGGGGAGCTAGTGCCTATCCCCCCCCCCCCTTCCACCAAGCTCTGGTCCTCTATATGAAAGTATTATACTGGTAGGAACCTCCTGGTTACACCAGCCCACAGGGGATTATTGTGTCCGTCCGTCGTGCAGGGAGTGGCTGGGTGGAGGGAGGGTATGGTCACCCCGTGGTGCCCTTATAAAACTCAACGTTTAACCTACTGACGCCGGCTTGTACCCGCCCTCACAGTCGGCCATATTTGCGGAATACACCACGCCGCCATTGACCGAGCAACCCAACGGTCCTACCAGCTCCCTCCGCAGGAATGTGTTTGGCCAATTAATAAGTGCTTTTACATGCAAGAGGAAACTGGAGCACCCAGAGAAAGCCAACGCGTGTGAGGGGACAACACCCCCGTACAGATGGAACAGGTGGAGTCCACATTCTCGTGTGAGTCAGGGTATAAGGCTGGTCGATGCTTACGGGAAAGTGTTTTCAAATTTGTGTGATCCATCAGCCCTCCCTGCCTTCCCAGTGCTGGATTACAGACCCAACAAAGACCGATACCCCTGTATCGCCTTCAACAGACTTGGCAAGTGATGTTAGCGAGCACCTATGAGGGTTGGCACTGCAGACGAGGAGTTGGGTGGTCCGCACCACGGCTGACCGCCGTTGTCTCCCCAATGGTGATGTTTACACACCGCACCGGGTTATTCACTTGAGGCTGAGTCGACATAGGAGAGGCGCGGGACCGGTTCAGAAAATCGTCACCGGTGTTGACCACGAGCGGGAATCAAACTCGGGTCGCCGGGTTTGTAGATCAGCGCGCTAACCACTACGCTACCACGCGCGTAGCCACCACCGCCTGGAGAAAGTTGCGTGTTGAGGATTTGATGAGGTGGTGAGTGGTGGTGAGATGGTGGTGGCACCGTTCACTAGACTTTTTCTCGTGAACGGTGCCAACTTCCCGTGATATCTTCCTATTTTCTAGCACGCTCCCCTCAATGGGACTTTACAGTCTGGTTTCCAAACCAAGGCCATTCTATGGAAACTGCACTCCGATGCACCATCAACAAGCCTCTCCTCAGCCCCGCTCTCCTGCTTCTGCACCCACCTCTCAAACCGACGTTGTCATACACGCGGGATTTGACGTGCTCAGAGGTAACCTGTATTCACAGTGTCCCATGTGGCCCCATGACTTTCTCGATATATATCGTCCGCCGCTTGGCAGCGGCAGCAGCAGCAGCATCTCCAGTTTTAATGTCAGCCAGCTGATTGATGATATGGCACCCAGCCCTTGGGTTTGCCATTTATACGGATCCCTAGATCAATGTCCAAGATCGCATATCTTGCCTTCACGCAGCCTCATCTTGCGGGGGGGGGGGGGGGGGGGTTGCTATTAAGTTAAATGTCATCCAAAATGCCCAAGTCCACGCTCGGTCAAGACCTGCCGTTTCAGTTCATGGGCCAGACCAGGAACCGGTAGTGCCTTAAGGTAGCAGCAGCAGTTTCACAAACACAAATCTCAAGATGGGACCTTTCTTGGCAGTATCAAAGTATAAGAAAAAGTAATCGAGCAGTGGAACTGCTGAACTGAAATGCCAGGTCTTGACCGAGCGTGTACTTGGGTGCTTTGAAAGATTTTTTCTGCCTGAGGACGATCGCTTGTGTTGCGATCG